GCCGTAATTCCTTCTTGAATAATCCTAGCGAGTTCCCCGGACTCCATGGTCACTGATCTCGAGGTCGAGGTCACATGTGGTATACCCAAGCCCCCTGCTCCGCCATTGTCAGGGACATGTGTTTGAGCTAGAGCTCGAGCATCAGCCATAAAACCCACCTGGGGTACTGGTGTGGGTGACGGATGCGAATTTCTTTGACTTAGCAGCTGAGTCAGTGTGGCGACCTGTTGTCTGAGCTCTTCAAAGGCACCAGCAGTAACGACTGCCCGCTGGGGCTCTAGCACTTCTGATGATTCCTCTTGAGGGACAGGGATATCCTCAGGAGGGGGTTGGTTTGGAGCGGATGAGCTTGCTGGTAGAAGACCTGAACGTGTGTTTACCATGGCTTTTGGTAGCATTTCCCACAGACGGCGCCAATGATGCTACCAAAAATCGTACCTGTAGATTTCCCGAGCTTGATGACTCATGAGGAGCACGAACGTGATCTTCCGGTACCTGAAACAAAGGCAACGAGGTGTGTTCTCGTCGCCTCTCCGATGCTTAAGTCAGAAAGGGAAATATATGCGTGAGGCTATGTGCTGGAGAACAATGAAAAACGTACCTGAATAATGGTTTAATGTTCTGTATTTATAGTAGTAAGTGACATTCTCCTAATTGGACTCAACTAACTGGATGTCCTCATCTGTTGGAGTCCTGAATAGTTAAGGAGTTGGTTGAATTTCAGAATTATATGTGAGATAAGATTCTTGTGGGAGTTAAGATTCCTAATTGCGTAGGAATTCTAAAGGGTCAACCATCGTCAGTTGTGAGGGGAGCACATGCTCGAGGACTATGCCCGAGGACAAAATGTTTGCAATATGCGAAGTAGCATGAGATGTGGTCGGGCCTAGTGTCTCGAGGATGAACATGCTCGAGGACCCCGCAGATGGATTTACAACTTTATCAAAAAATAGTCGTCGGGATATGTGATGATCGAGGATATTGGAAAATGTCACCATCACACATAAATTTAAAATTTTTTTTTATTTTTTAACAAGAAGCGCTAAATGCCCAAAAGGTCCAATTTCGCAGGAGGCCTTCTCCAATCATCGTCTGCGGTGTCCAGCCCAGTTGCGGGCGCCCGAATAGTTTTTACAGTAATTTAGTGAGAGAAAAGTAATTACGTACAATTTTAGAGAGAGAAACTTCCACAAGAACGAAGGACGAACAAAACCAGAAGCTCCATTTACATATACGGAAACAAGTATATATATTTATACGAAGGATAAATGCTTTGACGGGTGTATACAGAAATATTCTCGTGCTTTGAAATGAGGTACGTTGTGCATCAAAAAAGCAAAACCCTAGACCATGGTAAAGAGTTCTTAGGATCCCCGATTTTTAGCACTAGCTTGTAATTTTCTCGTACCTAGTAACAATTCAGCTATAATTTGCCGTTTGTAACTTTGGAAACACTAGAATTTGGTGGTTTGTTCAATTTTCTACGAACCCTAGAATTTTTATTGAGCATTTTGATTGAATTTTAGGGGTTAAATTTGGGAAATGAATGTGGGGGTTTTGATAGTGTGGTTCCGTTAATGCATTTTTGTTAAATTGACCCGAGGTTTGGGGGTAGAGTTGTGTTGTTTCTGACTTTCTGCGAGCTTCTGTGGTTATCCGCATTTAATTGTTCTGATAATATCATGTGATTTGCATGTTAACTAAGTTGATTTGTACTTACTGAGTTGCAATATTTTCCTTTTTGGAACTTTTAGTCGGTCAGTTATAAGAATTTGAGAGTTATAGTATAGACAATGCTGCACGCGATAGGAAAAAAAAATCACATCCTCTATCTCCTGGTTGCAAGTAGTATTGTTACTATAGATACTGTTACACGTTGCTCTATCGGTCTTTTTATGTGGTATGTGTATGTTATATGCATATGCTTGTAGTTTGTTGTACTTCCTTGAAGCTGATTTTGAGGAAATCATTCATCATATGCTATGATACACATGCTTGTTTGGGGTTCACATTATATACAATGTTCCAGGCATTTCATTATGAATTACTTCGTGTCAACTGAGACGAAATGTAGTTTGATGAATCATGATATTAGATGGTGATACCTGACAAGACTATTTGGCACAGGTGATTACTGGAGAATGACCAGACATTAAAAACTGTTTGCTTTCCTTTCAAAAGAGTAACTTTTACAAAATCTTTTGGAAAAATATTTCTTCCCCTCAACTTTCAGCAATTTTGAATCTTAGTAAATAGGTGCTATGCACATCAGTTTGGGGTTAATTGTGGCAATACTATTAATTTTGAGACGAAATATCCCGTAAAAGGTATAGGCATTCCAAGTTTTCAAAATTTATTTCCAAATTCCATCTTAATTTATTTTTCAACGTTGGACTAATAGTATAATTAAGTAAGTAACACGCAATCTGTATTTTCTGACAATTGGCAAATATAAATTACACATTTAATGTTCACAGATCTCTTGTCCTCTCACAATCTGTATTCAAATTCCAATTTTGTACCACTTTCTCCATCATGATATTTAAAATGGGATGTCGCTTGCATGTTATATTCCTTGTGTGAATTTTCTTTTTGATGACAAAATTCTAAAATTAAAATGAGGTGCACTATATATGAGCTTGAACGGTTAATAAAAAAATCATGGAACAAGTTTTCTTGCCTGAAACAAAGAGGCATTTCTCCGGAAAAGACAACTTGATTCTATCTGGACAAGACAAAAGCAAAAGATGGAGAGGATGCTGCGTAGCGTCAAAGTCTAATGTTTTTCCTCACCTTCCTTTCTGATATGTATATTTAGGTATTTATGAGGAAATTCTGTAACGGTTGTAGCATAAATAGATTTAGAAATATAAATTCCACATTCACTGAACCTGCTGAAACATCTTGTTGATAAAGTATTCTCCTTCCCTCTTTTTTCCAATTGATTCAGGGAGCATGTTGATATGCCCATTTTATATCTCTTATTTCAGTTTCTTGCGTGTGACTGAGTTTGAGTTCTGCTGGTTTCTGTTTGTAGCCGTTTTTAAGTCTTGAATTAATGGAGAGAATTGTCTATATCTATTAAAGGAGGAATGCATGGATGTAGTTCTGCATTTGTTACCTTAGTCAATGCTGAGGTTGATTCTATGGGACTAGTTGGTATTGGTAGCAAAACTTCTCCACTGCGAGCTGAGATTGAGAAGGTTCAGTCAGAGCTTAGGTATTGCTACTTGCTTTCTGTTAAAATCCTTAATACAAATTATTGCTAGTCCTTAAGATTTACTCGTCATGTCCACGGAAAATCACTTCTGGTAACAGGCAGGAGTACATCGTTCGAGATGAAAGGAGAAGAGAGCTGGAATATCTTGAGAAAGTATGGAGCTGAACCTAGATTGCCTTTCTGAGTTTTTATTGAACTTTTGGTGGTGTTAACTGGTGGGTATGTGCGTGCGTGCGCGCGCTTTTTTTTTTCTTGACAGGGTGGAAATCCGTTGGATTTTAAGCTTGGTAATGTTGCTTCAGTTAGCGTCCAGTCAACTTCGTTGAGAAATCGACACCCTGATCAGTTTGTCACTAGGTATTTTCTCTGCAGTTATTTTGTATTTTTAATTTGCTGAGTCCTTCAAGTTCCATGTATTTTTCTTCCTCTGATTGTTTATTCCCGTCATTGTAGTGAACGAAAAGGCAGTTTTACACTTATATCATCACCTCATGGAGACTCTGTGGAAAGTAGTGGTAGGCCTGGAGCACCTCCTCGTGAGCCCAATAGTGCCGATAATATCATGTTATTTGATGGTAAAATTGAATTCTCTGAAGGTGATCAGAACTCTTCACATCCTAGCAGGAGTAACATTGCACCATCGGAGAAGTCATCTTATACGGGTGGGAGTCAAAATGTCAGAGAATTTGGGGAATCTGATGCTTTTGGTCTCCCTAGGAAAGCTTATAAGAGAAGATACAGGTCCCGGCCAAGTAATGATCGAATCAAGTCAAGTTCAACAGATGTAGTTCTAACTCGTGGTGGTCATGGCTCTTCTTTACCTCCTCTCCGAGGTCCCAGGGATGCAAAAGAACTAGTTTCTGATTCAGAAAACTATAACAACCAAAATACATCATCAAATTGTAACTCAAAGCCTACAAGTCCAATGGATAATATCCTTCATATGACTGTCCCATCAGTCAGCCAGCAGGATATGGAGTTGGATAGTGCAAGGATTGTAAAATCAACTAAGGACTCGATAAAAGATGGTTCACCAAATGCTGCATCAGATTCTAATACTTCCAAAACCCCTCTGGACAATCAAAACAACCAACAATCAATTTCTGAAGCTGAAAAATCTCCAGTTAAAATGGCCTCTGATGGACCTGAGCCATTGCAGTCAAGGGAAGAGGTAACATCTGGAGTCATTGAGTGCCAGCCAAGTGTGATTCCTGCAAAAGTTGAGAGTCAATCTTGTTCCTGTCATATGAATGGTCTTGGTAGTGAAAAGGGTAATCAGATAAAAAATGATGCTCAGAATAGTAGCACGGAGCGTGGCACAAAGGGTTTGGATTCTGAGTCATCTTGCACTCAAACCATGTTAAGTATCAATGGAAACAATGAGGGCGAAATGTGTACTAACATGAGAAATGTTGACTCAAATGGGAGTACTAACAATCAAGTCTCAGTGATTGATGGGATCCCAAATGCAGAAGGGGATGAGTTGTTCAGAGATAAGAAAGAGAACAAAGCTAATGACAATAGTACTACTGTTATTGTCGGGAGCAATTCTACTTGTCAAAGCCTCCAAGAGAATGGCATTCTGCTCAAAGGCCAGGAAGAAATAAATGGAAACGCACCTACTTTACAAAATGAGGTGAAAGCTCAAGTTATCATTGAAGGAATGGAAGCTGGTTGCCACACTGGATCAGAATCAGAGAGGGAAAGTGTCGTCCTTTCACATGACAATCCTGACCCCACAAGCATTAGGCATCAGGATTCTATTAATTCCTCAATTTCAAAACTTCCCAAGGCATCACTGGCTGGTGTTTCTACTGTTGCCTCTGTGGCACAAAATTTCTCAGTGTCCAACTTGAAATTGGCAAGCAAAGTTGCTGAAGACTCGATCTTGGAAGAGGCACGAATCATTGAGGTTATATATTTTCATTATTGTTTAACATGTAGCCCTTTTTATGAAATTGAATAAATTTTTTATTAACTTTGTATTTAGGCTTTAAAGATCTGACCTATTATGTTGAACAGGCAAAGCAAAAGAGAATTATGGAGTTATCCACTGCTACCTCTCCACTGGAGATTCGTCGAAAATCTCATTGGGATTATGTACTTGAGGAAATGGCATGGTTAGCCTATGATTTTGCACAGGTTTGACTTCATAAACAAACCATGTCTTTTGTTTCCAATACACGTGTCCCTTTGCTTTTGGAGTATTTTGAACTACTGATTTTTATGTAGAATGGAATAGTAATCCTTTTCTGGGAATAATTTTTACACTTCCTAGCTTTAAGAACCTTCCTGTTTTACTTTATCTTCGTTCAGGAGCGTCTTTGGAAGATAAATGCTGCTGCTCAAATATGCCATAGGGTCGCTTTTACTTCTCAGTCAAGAAAACAAGTAAAAGCTTCCCCCATGAAGGAAAAGAAAGTAGCTTATACCATGGCCAAAGCTGTCATGGAGTTCTGGCATTCTGTAGAGGTAGCTTAGGCACTTCTTCTATTTTTTTGTCGTTTTCCCTGCTTATGGATTTTTCATGATAGAGTTTGTTTATTGACGTGGAGGATATTTTCTGATATTATAGGGGCTTCTCAATCCATTATACGTAGGTCTTTGTGGTTCTACCACATTTTTTCTTTTCTGGTTTGGGGCTTGCTTTGTGAATTTATTTTATGGCATATTTATCCTGGATGCTAGACTAACATTTTTGTCCCCTTTTGACAAAACTCTTGATTGAGATTATCGAATTATTAATGAGGCAGATACAATGCAATTTAAAGGCACATTCAAAAGGATCTATTGGTTATTGAATTGTAATATCACAATTATTGTTGATGGATTACTTTAAAAAATTTAAATCACCTGCGATACTCATGTTATTTACTACCCATTTTCCAGTAACCCTCGAGATTTTACTTACAATTGTCTGAATAATTTTGTATCTTTATCTGGTTAGAGCTATGCTTATTTGGCAATGAGATCATGGAATATTTGTATGCAAAAGGAGAGATTTGTAGTAGTTGTCCATGTATATTCTTAAGTGTCATTCTATGACTACTCCAGTGTAAAGAGTTGAACATAAGCTCTCATGCTCTTTGGGATGTATGGATACAAGCAAAGGACCTGTTTTAACACATACTCTTGGTTTGGTTTAACTTGATGAGTAATGATGCTGCTTTCTAATTGAAATTGCTAGTTGGGGTTAGTTGTCTTCCATCCGCGATTGAATTCATATCAGCTTATTAACCTCATTATTTATTGAGATTGGTAGGGCATATGGATTCATATCTAAGCATTTCGTGGTTGTGGCAGGAGAAAAGTAAAGAGCTGGAGCTCCAATCTCCGAAGGAGGGTGTACTCGCTGTCCAGTCATACGCACTGAAATTTCTGAAATATAACAACTCTGATGCTGTTCCTTGCCACGCTGAAGCGTTGGTAACTCCAGAAAGGATACCTGATTCGGGAATCCTGGACATGTCATGGGAGGATCATTTGACTGAAGTATGAATTAATATCATGTATCTTTATTTTTTGTTGATTGTGCGTCTGCTCTGTCTCTCCTCTTTCTGCACTTCTTTCTTCTTGCATTGCTTATTTATCCAATCTTGGTTCGTGTGTGTGCTTATTATGAGCATAGAAATGGTTGTATGTGTGCAACAATGCAACTCTTTGAGTTGTGTTAATGTTGAAGTTGTGTAGTAGTGGAGTTTACTTCCCCTCTCTTTGTTGACTTGCAGGAGAACCTCTTCTACACAGTTCAGCCGGAGGCTATGGAATCCTACAGAAAATCAATTGAATCTCTTGTGGATCAATACGAGGTAAATGAGTAGAGCACTTTTTGTGGACCAGAGGTGATAGGGTGACTTGTGATTAATTGCTTGCTTCATCTTTTGATATTTTTTATTTTTATTTTTGGTAAGTGCTCAACCTAATGAATTCTCATATGATGGCCCTCTTACTGGACTTAAGTCAGTCAACTTAAGAAATATGTAAGACCATTGAGCAAGGAGGGTGCCAACCACTACAACGGTATATAAAAAGTTGGTCCTAGGCTAGCACTGTTATTGAAGTGTGTATTTATGTACCAACAGTTATTTCATAAATATCTATTCGAGTGTATCAATATCTTCTTACCCTGCGGGTTTTTGTGGAAGCTGTGAATCGGGATTATAGACAGTGAGCCTTGGAATCTATATTTTTTTTGCACCTTGTCTATGGTGAACCAGTAATCAAGACTTCATTACCAAATCGGGCTCTCTTTATTCAAATAGTAATCATCCACATTTCTGTCCAGATAATGAGGTTGGAGTTCTAATAGTGATGACAAGTTACTATCAGATGAAATAGTTAGTTTTTTTTTTTTTTTTTTTTTTTTTTTTTTTGTGTAATAGACAAAGTAATCAACACATGGAACAAAACGTTTAGTGTTAAGTTTATGTTACCAAGAAGCACAAGCATCAGAATTTTTCCCCAAGGACCGCACAACAAGAAGTTAGGCTTAATCAAAAGCTAAGCTGATTTCCTTTGATCATCTTCGCATGGAGTTTCCTCAATTGTGTTTGGTTTTTTCTCGTTCCACATTGATTCTGACATGATAACGAAAAACTAAACCAATATAAGCTCATTTAAACTTCATCTAATTATTATATTTAATAATCATATTCCTAAGTTTCGTCTATACTTGTGTCGCCAAAAATCTCGGTATTGGCACCAACTAGGATCTTTCAACAATAAAACCCAGCATAAATGCAAATGCCTTAATTCTACGAGTTGAGTAAACAATGCAGGCATATTGCAATAGGTAATTTTCTAGCTTTATGCTGTTGTGTCTCATAATCATGGGTGAGCCCTCATTCACATCCTTAATAATTTGATATATCCAACAAAAATCATTTTTTTCCTCTAGCACCCATTATATCACTTTCTAAGGATGGGTAAATACTTCATACCACCGCACCCCCGCATTGCACCACCTTGAATTGTCCCAAAACCCATCTGAATCTTTCTATTTTATTTTTATTTTATGAAATTTTTATTATATTTAAAAAATATTGAACAATGTTAAAAATAAATCAATTATTATACCGGACATAAATGGAGATATTTTAATTCTTACCCCCTCCTGGCCTCACCTCGCAGAAATATCCGAGTGGACGGGGACAGGGAGAGCTGTTCTGGCCCACCCTATTGCCGTCCTTATCACTTTCCTAAGAACTTTTGATATGATTTTTCTAAATTGCTTCATTTTCCTGTACATTTTGACCAATCACTAAATTAGGTAGAGGGTTTCGTAATATACTTGTCAGGCATACAGACCAGTTATCTCACCATGCAAGAAAAACGCTTTACACATCACCTGCAATGGATATGAACCACAGGCATACTCTTGCCAAATAGGAAAAAAAAGCTTGTTGGTTGTTTTAGATACCTCCGTATTACATCTTAATCTATGCTTAATCACTTCTGTGATTTAATAGTGTTAACTATGGGTTTAATACTTCTATGCTTGTGACAGGGACTCTTAACACTCTCCCAAGGACCGTAAACTATTGTGAAAAAAAATCTTATTCCTTTTGTTTCCTTTCCAATTTAACATGAGGTTAAAAGAAGGCGAGTTAAGTGGTAATTTTCAATAACTGTCTGCTGGCAATGTGTGTCAAGTGGCTGCATATAGGCAATATCTCTGAATTAGGTAAAACTTACCCGCTAGATCTCCCTCACATAATCCAAAATTAAAATGGCTCTTTGAAACCTTTGAATTACACCTGAATATATGCGTAATCACTAATGAGCTTAACTATCTTAATTATATTCTTTATTATTATACTAAATTGGGACTATAGTACTCTTCTCTCCATGAACTTAAATAATAGTAAATATAGTTCTATTTCTATTATATTTCCTTCACAATTTAACATTAGGTTAAAAAAAGTCGAGTTAAATCCCCCGCGTGAGTCCTAATTTAATGAACACCCCCCCCCCCCCCCCCCCCAACACACACACACACACACAGAGTCATCGAATGGGACTATACTAATATTTCTCAAGGACCATAAATCATTATAACATTAATTTATTTCTTTTTCTCAAGTTATCGTTATGTTAGAAGAAGGCAAGTAATACGGTAATATCCATTTTTACCCAAAGCATTCTATGGAAATGTCAATTAAATGGTTTTGTAGTTAAAAGTCAAATTACATGAATATTTTCCAGATAATCTGCCATTCTAGTGTTTCTTCCGCAGATATGAATAAGTCATGTTTTTTACACTGTAAACGTACCTGTCCAATCTAGGTCTGTGCCCAGCCCTCTCTTCCTTGGTGGAATCATCCTGCTCCTTAAAAATGTGTGGATGCATAAAAATGAAATTTTTTGGTAGTACATGGTTCGTATTTAAGTTATTTTCATTTGACAAAACTACTAGGATATGTGGGGGTTTTTCTCTGCAGCTAACTTGCATAATTAGTACTTGTTTAATCTAGGTCTGTGCCCAGATCTCTTTTGCTTGATGGAATCATTCTGCTTTCATTAAAAAAAGAAAAAAGAAAGTGGAACAGTGAATTTTTTTGGCAGTACATGGTTTGTATTTAAGTTGTTTTCATTGGCAAACAACTAGGATATGTGGGGGGTTTAGTCTGGAGCTAGCTTGCATGTATAGTCTCCAAGGGAGAATGCTTTTTCCGAATAGGTAGGGTGAGTTGCTTATATGCAGTGAGGTATGGAGTGCTTTTTTGGACAAATTGAAGTTTGTGGTCGGAAATGGTAATGAGATTAGATTTTGGGATGATTGTTGATGCGGAGATCAACTGTTGAAGGAGGGATTTCCTTCCTTACACTGCATTGCCTCAGTGCCCACTGCTATGGTGAGTGATCTCTTAGACATTCATAATGGGAGCTATAGCTGGAATATTGTATTTGGGAGGGATCTACAAGATTGGGAATTGGAAGATTATTCGCCGTTTATGACCTTTTTACATGAGGCACAAATTCGAGTAGGAGAGAAGGCAGCACGGGAGGGCATTTTTTTAGTTCGCTTGTACTTTGGTTCCCTCATGGGATGTGTGAATAATTCATTCCCTTGGAAGTTGGTGTGGCAGTGTAAATTGTCTCCTCGGGTGGCATTCTTATTGTGGACAGTTGTAAGGGACAGGTCTCAACGGTGGATTATCTTAAACATAAAGGCTTCTACGTGACCGAGTGGCGTTATATGTGCAAGGATGGGGAGACGATCGATCATTTGTTCATTCATTGTGATGGTGTACATTAGATTTGGAATAGTATACTTGGTTCTCAATCTATGGATTGGATAATGCCTCGTCGTATAGAGGACGTGATATAGGCATGACGGAGAAAACTTCGTGATAAGGATAGCAAACTAGCATGACACCTTATCTCGGGTTGCATTGTATTGTACTTGTGGAGAGAAAGGAACAACCGTTGCTTCGAAGACCAAACAAAGATAAGAGAGCAGATAAGAGAAACTCTATCTTGTATTCTTGGTTTAATGTTGTGGCTAGAAATCCTGTAGATAGGTTGTCTAATTTCATGTTGTTCCTTAATGGCTTAAAATGATTGTACACCCTCCCTGTATTCTTTTTTAAATAATAAAATTATCTGATTACCTATCAAAAAAAAAAAAAAAAAAGTTGCTTATATGCAGTGGTATACACCTTGTGAATTGGGTTTGTACCACCTTTTTTTCTTTTGAACTGGGGGAATGACCATTCTACATCAGGCCTCTAATTTTTTCACCTCATCACGGGTTTCGATTGTTCAGTCTTAGAATCATGCTAACGGTTGTGCTGGATGGGGCTTCTGAATCTTGATTATAGCAATCACTGTGATGGGAAGTAGTTTTTCCTCTGCAACCACTGTTTTCAATTGGATTTCTTAGTGATAATCTAGAGTTTAACGTCATTAAATGAAAACTATTGAGAGAAATGGAAAGTACTTGTGCTTGTGATATCCTGATCCAAGATGTCATGATTCATCGGGTGGAAATCTATGTAGAAGTTATTATATCATTTTGGTAGTTAGATGAAGGTATGTCTTATAGAAACTCAAAACAGGAATAAGGGGAAAAAAGGAAAAGAGAACTGTTGTTTTCTTTCTATGATTGTATCTAAGCTATTATTATTTATTATGGCTGAAAATTTGTGTGTTGTTTTTGTTAATGTTGTGACCTAACTTACTTATTGATGCTATTACATTATTTTTGTGCTTTCTCAGAAAACTGGAAGTACTGTGCAAGACGAAGTGGATACATCTGCATGTGATGATATAGCAGGTACATTTGTGATAGTTTCACTTTGTTTCCACCTGCTTTCTGACTAATCATTTTTCTGGATGATATTACTTATTAAAGAATTTAAATTTCAAGATAATGCATATGAAGAGGATGAAGGTGAAACAAGTACATATGACACGGCAGTGGCCTTTGATGGTCTACCTTCAAGATTTGCCCAAAAGAACCCAAAACACTTGACAAATCCTTATGGTGCTAGGTCATACAAAATAGGTCCCCATTTTTTGCCCATGCAATGCATTGAAAGTAAAGTTGCAACACAACAATCTGCTTTACTGGCAAAACGCCCAGGCAGCACTCTTAATGTGTCAATTCCTACAAAACGTATGCGGACTGCTTCCAGGAGAGTTATCAGCCCCTTTAGTGCAGGAACATCCGGAGGCATTCAGATATCTAATAAGACAGATGCTTCAAGTGGTGATACTGATTCATATCAGGATGATCAGAGTACTTCACGTGGTGGATCCCTTGTTCCAAATGGTTTGGAAGTTGAATCTGTTGGGGAATTTGAAAAGCAATTGCCATTCGAATCTGTACAAATATTGACAAAACCTAAGAAGAAAAAGAAAGAAAAGCATCTGGTAGACAATTACTTATATTTTCTAATTAACATTTTGATTTGTCTTAAAAAAGGGTTGACCTTCTCTTTGGTATATTTGTGGCAGAATGCTACATATGAACAAAGGTGGCAGGTTGATTCCAATTTTCAGAGTGAGCAGGTGAGTCATTTTACTTCAAGAATTTAGCATTTAGTACAACTGATTACTTGTTTCATTCCAAGCTTTTGACGTTAGAAGTGTGCCATAGAGGGAGAGGGCAATCGTTTTCAATTTACTCTTATATTTTAGTGAAAAACAAGCACTTTGGATGTACATGAGTTTGAATTGAAGGGATACTTTCTTTCTCATTGTTTATTTTACACAAATATTGTTGAAATGCACCCGCATTTTGAAATAAAGGCTAAATCAGGCATTTGGCTCAATAAGGCTAGATGTAAGCCTCAACATAAGCCAGTAAAATAATTTAAAGAGTTATCAAAATACAAAATTTGGACTTGTAAGAAATCATTCAATCTAAAAATTCTCCATGGAACATTGTACAAATTAGAAATGTAATTTTCAAACAAATGAAACAACTTGGTGGCTTATTAAGAACCTTGTTTCCTTTGACTTTTAAGGAAATGAAAACTTAGAGGAGAAGAAACAAACGCGTTGAGACAATGAGATAAACGTAAGAGATGAGAAAAGTTAAATTACATGTCGCAGCTTCCTGCCATCAATCGTTCGTGGTCGAAAGCAGGAACTTCACTTGGTGTTTATTGCTCTTTAAATATAAGAGTAAAGAGCAAGGGAATGTTTGACTGTTTACTTCTTTTCTCTAATTTTCAATTATTTTAAGTTTCACCCACACCCTTAATGCATTCTAGGCTACAAAAAAAGCAAACCAAAAGCTGAGGCTGGTAAAAAACAGCCGAATAGGGCCAAGACTAAGGAACATGGGCTTAATAACACTCAAAGTGTAAGCTTTGAGGCTCTTATGAATTCCTCACTCGAGCTGTACATCAAAAGTGCAAGCCCTTGGCGCTTCTTGCACTTTTGATGATGCTGAATGCTAGAATGCACAAAAACTTGCAGTGTATAGCTCTAAAGAATAATAGCTTTTAGGTATGAGGCCTATATGCCTCATGAAATTCTCATTCTTGTGGAATGTTTCACATACTTTGATCAGACAGCTGAAAGATATTTTTCTTAGACTGAAGGATTAGTTTGAGCTATTCATTTCAGTGATAATTTGTTGAAATGTGTAGGATTACTAGATTTCTTCTATTTTTGGATATTTTTATTATGATAAGACATACTTAATGTGCTTTAATTACTATGATGCCAGCATGAAAGCGAATTTACTGAAGAAACATGCAAGGGATAGAGTTAATGCTCTTAACATTGTAGAGATGCATTATCCGTGAGTGCAGCTTGTAGACTGTGATAGCTCTCTGGATCGTAGTCACCACTTTGTCTAAAGATGCACTGACATTTTTCTGTAGACCTTAAAAATTAATGCAATGAGCTCATGATACCACAATGTAATTAGTACAGAAAAATTTGTGTAGGTTAAAATTTATTTGCAATCAGGATGAGTACAAGTATTTTTTGGAGATTTGCCTTGTTTCTTTAGGCGGCCAAAAGATTCACGTATGATTCTTCAAATACAAAATAGTACTGTCTTAACACTGAGCATGCTGAGTATGAGGGAAACCTAAATGACAATTTGATCACAATCCATTGCCTATCTGGGTATTCAACTCAAATGCCTGCCAATGGAATTATAAATGTGCAGTTCTCTCTTCAACAAGTCACGTTTGTATTTTATGAATGATATACTGAGATTATTGTTCCATTCTTTCTTTACCAGTTCCAGTGGGATCATTTGAAGAAGAGATCAGAGAGTCATCAACTTGAATCTAATGGCAGCAGTGGTGAGGTTTCTCTGCTCCTAAAATCAGCTGTAGTGTTAGTATTGAAATCTATATTCTTTTTTATGTCTTAATCATATATGTTCTGTGAAGGTTTATCTGGTCAACACATAATGAAGAAGCAGAAGATTATGCGTCAATCACAAGATAACTCTTTTGAGACTATTGCACCTATTGGTGGATCTGTCCCTTCGCCTGCAGCCTCCCAAATTGGTAATGTGCCTCAACCAAATAAGTTTGTTAGAATACTTGGAGGACGGGATCGGGGTAAGAAACCCAAAATTTTGAAGGTACAATTATGCAGATGAATATCCTCTTTGTGCCTTTTGGCTTTTTGCTTGTTGATATTTTCTTATGGGCCTCCACCTTGCAAGTTGAGCATCTTGAATTTCTTGCAGATGCCTGCTGGGCAGCTGGGTTCAGGAAGTCTATGGTCTCTCTTTGAGGACCAGGTTGGTTTACGTATATTCATATTCATGCAGAGATATGCATATATACGCATTTCAACTGACATTTGAGATATGTTTTTAACATTTTACTTCTAGAGATATGATCAAATCAATGTGGTATTGACTTTTTAGGCACTTGTCGTTCTGGTACATGATTTGGGTCCCAATTGGGAGCTTGTAAGTGATGCAATTAACAGTACTTTGCAATTGAAGGTGAGATAATTGAAATTTGATACATGTATCTTTCCTGATGGAATTTTATAGGGGCCCATCTTTGAGAAAGTTTTTTGTTAATTGGAAATCATGTTGATTTTTGAACACATTATTTTGTTCAATGTATCCAGTGCATATTTCGCAAACCTAAAGAATGCAAGGAGAGGCACAACATTTTGATGGATAGGACTTCTGGTGATGGGGAGGATAGCATTGAGTATTCGGGGTCTTCACAGCCTTATCCTTCTACGTTACCCGGCATCCCCAAGGTAAAATTCGTGTAGTCCTCATCTAATTTAATTTCATGTTTTACTTGTATTTCACGAGACAACTTTTTTATGCTACCTGCCTGCCTTTAACAACTTATTTCTTTATCATTTGGATGCGTTTCTGTTGCAATTGGCTTTTGCTTCTGCACACCATACAGGGAAGTGCCAGACAATTGTTTCAGCGTTTGCAGGCGCCAATGGAAGAAGATACCATCAAATCTCACTTTGAGAAAATTATTATGATTGGTGCGAAACAAAATTATCGTAAGCCTCAGGTATCTTTGTCATAACCGATGTAATATTATTATATGCATTTCTTTCAAAATATGCTTAATCACGTTGGTCATTGCTGAAAATTTGTACTAAATTCAAGAATCAGATATCTTAAATATGATTGCTACTGTTTGTTTGATTTTTGTTATTTTTTCCTTTCCACGATATTTTGACTAATTTTATTTATCAATGCTTCTTTTTTATGATTGGTAACCAGTCTCAAAAGCGGGAGCAAGCTCACGATTCTCATGCAATTGCTCTCTCCCAAGTTTGCCCAACAAATCCGAATGGAGGGCCCATTTTAACGTAAGATAAGTTGCTAATGTGATGTGCACTTTGACAATTGATCCTTTAATGTTAACTTTCATACTAGCTGTTTCCTTTACTTCCCTTGCTATTTTCTTATTTTAAAACTCCACTACTCTTGTTTCTATGAAGACCTCTGGATTTGTGTGATGCAACAACTTCTAGCCCTGAAATACATTCTATTGGGTATCAAGTGCCACTTTCTAGTGGTTTAGCTATTGCTAAGCAGGCTACTGTGGCGCCAATGCTTCCTACATCTGTTGCCGGTTCTGCAGTACAAGGATCCTCCAATATAATGGCTGGCAATAATATTTCAATGCCACCTGATCCACTTAATTCCTCTGTCAGGTAAAGTTCTATTAAAAGATTTTTGGGAAATAATTACTAATTATTGATAGGTGACTCGTGGATTTGGGTGCTTCTTTGTATTGTAGGGATGGTAGATATGGGGTTCCTAGATCTACATCTTTATCAATTGATGAACAGCAGAGAATGCAACAGTATAATCAAATTATATCTGGTAGAAATATTCAACAGCCCAGTATGTCTGCTCCTGGAGCTTTTCCAGGAACTGATCGCAGTGTTCGTATGCTTACTGGTAGCAGTGGCATGGGCATGGTGTCTGGTGTTAACAGAAGCATGCCAATTGTGAGGCCTGGATTCAAAGTACTATCATCAACATCCATGGTGAATTCTGGGAGTATGGTTTCCCCTGGTGCAGTGTCAGTAAATATACAGTCCGCAGTTGTCTCTGGTCAAGGAAACTCGGTGTTTAGACCTCGTGATAATTTGCATATGATGCGGGTAAGTGTTTTGAGCTTTGTTTATTGCATTTTGATCTTGCCTTCTCTGGTATGTACTTTTTCATGCTGTCTCAAAGTCGCGAAAGTGTGATTGCGGAGAGGAATTTGTGATATTGGTACTGCCATGCCCATATTCTTCAGGGCAGTAACTTTAGATATTAATCTTTTCCCAGTGATATTTGTATTATACAAGCATTATTATAGACTGCATGTTTGGCTAAGCTTAAAAGTTTGCTTGTGAGTTAACAGGAAAGTTTATAATTAGTATTTTAGGCTGAATTGCCTGTGCCTTCCCCAACCTTTATGATCTGTTGCAAATTAGTCAACAGCCTTTTCTTTTTGGCATTTAACTTCTCAAGCTTTCATTTTCAAATCATGTTCATCCTTACGTATGAGACCGTCAATTCTGCTAATAAATTTGACAAAAACACACTTGTGACTTCAAGTTCAAATAAATAGAAAAATGAACGTAAAAATAACAGAAAAAGAAGAAAATTAAGAAAAGGAAAAAAATTTGATCATCTTCATCAACCTCTTGAATCCCATCCTAACCCCACCACCTCAGTGGCTCCACCATACCGCCATATATATATATATATATGTATTTATGGCAAAGTTTCTCTTTGGAATTTCAATGCTGAAATTGGATGAAAATTGTGAACAAAGACGACGTTGCACCAAAAATGAAAGCTTGAGAAGTTAAATGCAAAAAAGGGGGTTATGGAGCAATGTACTACCCAACCTAAAGGTTGGGAATGGCACGTGCAAGTTATACCATTTTTTATGAGTAAAAATTAGAAATAAGTTATTTTGACCGTAAGTAAAGGATTTATTTTTAAATAAGTAACTTGTATTTATAAGATCGTTATAATAACAATTGCCAAGCTAGTGCTCTCAGCATTGGACTTCCACCCAGAGTTGCTCCACTATCAACTATATGCTCTCTAGTAGAACATCGTTGGACTTCTAAAATATGAAATGATGTGCACATGACTGTCTTTTTAATTTTATATCAAATGCTCCGTTGCCAAATTTGATGTTCTTTATCCCACTGTAGCGACTTAGGTCCAGACACTTGGAACAAGAACACTTAGTTCTGGTAACTTTTGTATTCAATTGCTTGACCTCGTCTATAATCTATATCGAAGAAAATGCAGCAGTAGGTAGATTTCCCTCATAGTAAGCTGATTGGGCAATCTTGGTAAGCAACCATGTTATAGTTTCCTATGGTCTTGGTTGGAGGCTGAGTACCTCATCTGCGGTAGAATTGCAATTCATTGAATTGTTGCTAATGGGCTTTAGTCTACAAACTTCATTAAGTTAGTAATAGACTAAATTTTATTGCGTACAACACACTTGATTCTTATAATTCTATTCTGGGAAAATAAAATGTCAAGAGACTCCACTGATAGCCCCTGTTGAAGAAAACTAGTTGCCACCAGAGTGATGAGACATTTTTGCGTTAAATTTTCTCAAAAGGTGTAGCGAGTAAAACCCAAACTGGAGCAATCCTCATAGTGTTTGCTTTGGTTGATAAATTGTTTATCTAATTAGTAGCTATGAGATCCTAGTTGATTTCTTGGCTTGGCATGCAGTGAAAATATCATTTCCAAATTAAAATGGGCTCATTGTGAACTTTGTGTAAATTTCAAAGGTGATTGTTTTTAAACACAAGATATTTCTTCATTATGAATGAAATGCTTGACTGATTATTAGTTCCTACAAAAACTTATTGTCCCAGAGATGTTTTGGAGTGATAACTTGCCGATTCGAGTATCATGAAGTCGCTATTTTGTTTTGAGCTCCGTGTTTTTGATACATTCTCAATTTTCAATGTTGCATCTCTTGGTACGTTTAGTAGTAAATGGTTATCTGCTCTTGTAGTCTGGGCCGAGTCTGGATTCTCAAAGGCAGATGATGGTGTCTGACCTTCAGATGCAGGCCCCACCAGGTAGCAGCCAAGGAATCTCTCCTTTTGGTGGGAAAAATTCTCCTTTTCCTAACCAGACAGCTTCCCGACCTGTTTCATCCGTCCATCAGCAGCAGTCACACCCGGTATCCCCACAACAGCCCCAAGTTCGTAGCTCTCTTCAATCACATCTTCAAGGAGCAGCCAATCAACCTCCCAATGCCCAGCAGCAAGCCTATGCAATGCGCCTACCAAAAGAGAGACAAATTCAACATCGTATTCTCCAGCAACAATTTACTGCTTCTAATTCCTTGATGCAGCATGTACCACCACAGCCGCAACTTCCTATTTCGTCGCCTTCACAAAATAGTTCCCAAGTTCAGTCCCAAACAATCTCTCCATCGGTATCACATTCTCCGCTAACATCTGCTTCTATTAATACAGTGCTGCAGCACCAGCAGAAGCATCAAATGCATAGTTCTCAAACTATTAGCAGTGTCAATCAGACAGGCAAGCAGTGGCAGCGCCAGCAGCAGCAGCAGCAGGTTTTGCATGGTAACAGGCCACATTCCCAGCAGCAACAGCAGACACAGAGTCAACGGCAGGCTAAACTTTCAAAGGGAATTGGAAGAGGAAACATGATGCATCAGAGCATCCCTGTTGGCCCCTCCCTTTTGGATGGCATTTCGAGTACAGGGAACCAGTCGTCAGAGACAGGAGTGCTGAGCACACATTTAATTCAAGGTCAGGGTTCATATCCTGGGCCACCACTAAATGCTGTGCAACTGGCGAGGCAAAATGTGCCCTCGCAATCATCTAATCAATCCCTGCCTCAGCACAAGGCATATTCTGGCCAAGTATTTTCACCCTCGAAACACCCACCTCAAATGCCTTCTCATCCTGATAATAGCAGTGAAGCTCTGGTTCTACCAGTTACTTCTGCCTCTACATCATCTGCTGGCCATCAATCTGTTCCAGCAGTGACTATGGCTGCCTCCAATCACCAATGGGCACCACCTCACCAAAAGTTGGTGAATCAAAATCCGGAGTCTCTTCAGAGAGGATTTCATCAAAATCGAAAGCCTAATTCTGACCCATCAAACAAACCGCAAGCCAGAGATTGTCATACTGAACAGCTTCCAACAAGCAGTTCTGCTGAGATCGGTCCCATGACAACATTGCCACAGGTTTGTAACAATGCAACTAATGTAGCACAGGTCATTTCTCCTCCTAGTGTGCACCGGAATGGTTCAGAGCCGTTGTTTGATTCTGATACTTCGAATTCACCAACAAATTTGGGTTCCTTGGTTCCTCCACCAGCGAGTTCTAATGAGTCCGTGCCTCAAAATATCCAAGGGCCTGGTCAAAGGCTGTTGTCTATGAGCTTACCTAAAATTGGACATGATGTTAGTGCTCAGTGGCAGCAGCAACCATCACAACTACAACCACCCCCTTCGCCGGTAGCCCAACCTCAGCAGCAGCAGCAGCAGCAGCAGCCACAGCTCTTGCAAGCAGGGAATGGTAGTTTATATGGTAGGCCTGGTGAACCTAAACTGGAATGAAGGACGCTTAACAGGTGTCTCGGTGGTGATAGGTCCTGCCTGGGTTAGGTCAACGTACGTTTGAGAGCAATTTACAGGTTAGTTCGTACCTTGATTCCATATATCTGTACTTCGGCTGACATACTTGGACTTCACTGCTTTATTTAGGTTTTTGCATGCTTGTGCCATTCTATTTACAAGATAATAGTCGACCATAAAGTAATCCATTTTTTCTGCCCTTCAGGGTTTCAACTTCTTTTTGTCTACACAAAATGTAAACTGTAAATATCTCCTTAAAAACTTGTAGTATTGCCATTTTGATCTCTTAGACACGCTTCTATTTGGCTTTTGCTCAGTAAAAATTCTCACTCTCTGGGACAATATACCAACTGTTTATGCATTATTCAGTTTGAAGCTTATGGTTCTATCTGGGCATGGGAAGGTGACAATTTGGTCAAACTTAGAAGTTCTCTGCATTTCGGCAAAGAAGACTTTGGGGGTATTTTGTACATTGCTGTTGATCTAAAGCTTGGGGAAGATTGAGACAGATGATAGAGGTAGGTGTACATAGTCTCATCTCTCCTTTTTGGTGGTTACATTTTCCATCGCATATTTATTTTCCTGCTCAGTTAATTAGGGGCCCTAATTATTTTTGCCCCATAGATCAGCCGTGTATTATTTCACTTGTTAACATTGTTTTGGCCAAAGGCTGTAGGAATTTTGTGAATATTAGTCGTCTGGTTATATTACGGTTAATATTTGTAGTGGTCATCCTACATCATTTGTTGTAAAGTATGATAGGGGGTGATGTATTTGAAAGCTCAGAGGACCAGGTTTTTTTTTTTTTTTTTTTCATTGGTAATTATCGCCCGTTTTCTACAAGTGTACGGTGTCAAATTTTGTAATATAATATTGGAAGTAGAGTATCGAATCCACAATGATTGATATTTGATTCCTACTAATTACTACAATTATTTTAGTTTTTATTTTATCTAGAAAATCAAATTTAGAATCGATGTTTTTATACTAATCTAATGTGGATGTGATGATAGTTCGAGAAGCAAATTATAAGAGATCTATCAACGTAAGAAAGTTTAGGAATGATTTCACTTAATTACATGGTTTTTAAGTGAAATAAGCCTCAAAGATTTCATATTTTGTTTGAAACCTACAAAATTTAATTTGTTTTATTCTTAGATCACGTCTAAATTTTCTTCTTTTGGGTGTCGAAATTTAGAACATTAAATCATTCAATTATTGATATGAGGTAATTGAAAGCAATATGTAAGAATCAACACAAATAAGTTAATGGAAAGAACAAAAGAAATAACGAGAGTAAAATTCAAACACATCTCAAGTTAGGTTACGTCAAATCCTACAGTTAGAATTTAGTTCATAATTGAGAGAGACAATATGATCAAATCCAAAAGAAAGAACATGGAGAAGAAAAGAAAAGTTGATTTGCTGCTTGAATTCTCTTCCAAATTGTAGTTTTTTATTTCAATCAATCTCTCATTTTTTCTTGAGCCATCTCCTACTCCAAATCCAGGTCGTCAAGTTTGTATTTATGCTCACCTAATATTCCAACACAAGTTGGAGTTGGATCGAGTCGAAAAGATTAAAAAACTGATTTTTCCGTTTTCGGCAAGCAGCACTGAGCGCCCATATCCGACACTGCAGCACTGCGATAATTTTGCTGCTAGCGTCACAACACTCAATGTAGCCCTAGCAGTTCTGCTTCTTTTCATTTTTGATGGCCTTTGCTGGTTCTGGGTGTCAAGGCTCCCTATGTACTTCCTTCGGCTCGCTCATGCTCTAACCTTTTTTGCACTTCATTTTTCTATCCTTTCATCTCCATTCTATGCCCATTTCCATGATCAACACTTCAGTTTTATTCCAAGCTCTGAAATATGTATTTTTTTTTTTTCAAGTTTTCTAAACTAGAAAACAACATGAAAACACATCAAAACGCTCAAAAGTGCTCAAGAACAAAATGAAAACCTTGATTAGATGTGCTAGTTCAATGAGTGAATTACACTCATCAAACACCCCTAAACTTAGTTCTTTGCTTGTCCTCGAGCAAACATAAAACAACAAAACAATATAGTTAACTAAGACAAACATAAGATATAAATACACAATTTAGCTGGATTATTTGTTTTTTATGGCTCAGCATTGAATATGTGATATCAAGTTCATGAATTACTTCAAAGTTATAGTGCAAAAGTTAAACTCCTAACTTTTTAATACAAAATGTGTGCGTGTGTGAAGAATCAAATACAGCACTGTACAATCATAAGTTCATTCAAATTTTTACCTTAAAAGGCAATTATTTCCTTTCCTTGCTCGCGGGATTCACACATCCCTAAACTTAGTTTCTTTTCATTCTTTTCCCAAGGGTGTAATCCACGGTTGGTTTACAAATAACTACTCCTTACTCTCTCTAATTTGATTAGATGTTACTGATTGAAGTTCAACATGTCAATATATGAGGATTCTATTTATTTTTTGATGCTTCAACCTCTAAAAATCAACTAAGTTATTAACATTTCATTAAAGGCTTAATCCTCTAAAATAAGTGTTTGGGGATTAATCAAGGCATTGTACATCTTCTGTTTCATGCACCTGCTTTTTAAAATATATCTATTCTATAATCAACCTAATGTGCAGATGTCTCTCTATTGAGCTTTTTAAATGACCCCTCGGTAACAAGTTTTAGCCCGATGACTCTCAAGTTAGATAACTTTAAGGCATCAAGTTTTAAACCTTTACAGGCTTAATTGCTCGAGTCATAAAAGTTAGGAAAAGACGTTTTACAATAAGATCATTATAGTTGTCTTCATTGAGATCTTTTAGGGTAGCTTCCCAGCAAGATAGCTTTTTTCCTTTTTATGTAATGATTAGTACAATACCCTTTGTTAAACACTTATTCTCGAAAATTGACGTCTAATTTAAGGTTTTTATCCTATTGGTCTCAAACATTTGATTACGCTCAAAGAATAACGTGGTAGTTGTAACACAGTTTTGGAGTGTTGATTCCACAAGGAAATGAAAGAATTACTCAAATGATTCAACAAATTAGGGTTCTCGTGAATTGTATGAAAAGACTTTGTTTATCGGTTGGAATGAGATTTAATTATCAAGGTTTGAATTAGTGAAGCGTCGAAATTTCCTCGATTGATTTGGATCATTCAACATCAATGATTCATTTGTTTTACTCAATTAGAGACGTTCTACCTAACTCCCTAATCTAAAAATATGTCATTGAAACCCAAATTAAATCTACAGTAGTTTCAAATTTTAAAATCCCTAAAATACATTCCCACTTTTATTTATTGAAATAAAATTCAAGAAACGACAATATACATAAAGTAGTATTTGAATCACACCAATAAAATTTATTTGAAATTGAACAAGCAAAGATTTCGGTTGTTTAATGGAGAAAGCATGACTGAATCTATGAAAAACTTAACAAAAGATAAGCCAATTTCAAAACCAATTTATGGAAATAAAATCTAAACTTAAGAATTGTTTAATAATGAAAAATCAAATTACATGATTGAATGATGTTGAAATCTCCAATTCGAATTGAGTTCCTTTGTAGCTTCACCGAGATCTTAGTTCTCCATGGATTTCTTGATCTTCTCGTCTTGTTCTCTTGATTCCTCTCCAGAAAAGCTATTCTTTTTGTATTGTGTTTTCGTGCCTCTAAAGTTCCCAAAGAGTTCCAAGTTAAATGGGATGGAAAAAGAGTCCAAAAAGATGAAAACTCCTCATTCTCGCGATCAACGCCTAGGAGCTTCGAATGGGCGCTTGCTTTCTAAAACAAATCAGCAACATGGTGCCTAGGCGTTAGGGGATAGTGCCTAGGCGCTTTGTCAGCTTCGGTTACACTGCATGATCTTCAATATTTTATCATAACTTTTTTTCCTGATGTCCGATTGAAGTGATTCAAACTAAGTTAGAAAACTAATGTAAGGAGCTACAATTTTGCTAGAATTAGACTCTTTCCAATTTGGATGTTTATTAGGTCAAAATGGATCTCAATTTTAAGTTGATAATCTAAAACATTCTTGTGCGGTTGAAAATTGATTTATGAAGATTTTATGATCATAAATTGACCCCTAGAATTCTCTAATCATCATTCCGTCGCTCGTCTCATCTATGAATTATTTGCAACTTGGTCCCTGAACATTTATTTTCTTCCACTTTAGTCTTTTTCGCTTTTTTCTTCCAATTTCCACCATTTTCATCCATTTGTAACCTAAATCAAAATATAAAGCTGCTTAGTACATTTAGGCATCAATTTATCATACAAATGTAAGTATAAATGGATGAAAAACCTAACAATCTACGTCATTATCACACCTCCAACTTGCTAATTGCTAATTTAATGCAAAAGAAAACACTCAATGACTGGTTTATGTTACAATTTAAATTGTTAAGTTTCAATTCAACCATATTTCATGCTCTTTTCAAACTCAACACTACAAGGAGGCTAACAGTGTCATTATCGTCAGATCAAAAACATTTACAAAATGTATAAGTGTGTGTCAAGCCATGACTATCTTACTGCCAACTTTAACACATGCAACATCAAGAACATCTTGAGTTAAATGTTTTGCCACATAACTCATGGGTATCAAAGTGTTTGGTGCATGGTTTCTCTTTATGGAGCTGAGAAAGAGATACACTCAGAACACGGAGGCTTAAGTATGTATGACAAAGCAACAAGCAAACATTGATCTTATGATAGGCATACTATCAATTGAGAATTCATTAATTTCTTACCATAACCCTACTTGAGATCAAAAGAGCCAATGCAAAATATTGTAATAAAGATTATGTTGGGCTATATGAAAAGAAGAGCAAAACAAATTCAAGGACCTCCAAGTACATAGCTAGGCATCTCATCAGGCATTTCAATAGATCATGTCCTTTACTCAATTCATTCTTCAACATTTCAATTCCCAACATCAATCATTCTTTTCCTTTCTTTTTCATTATTCTTTTTCTCATTTTTTTTTCAAGTTTTTCTTTCTTTTTTTTTTTTTTGGATAACTTTCCCATCTTCTTCTTTTAATTTTTATCATTTCACTTGTCTTGTGCCCTTCCTTGTTACCGTTCTTCTCAAATGAACATTCAATACCTACTATACACTTGGAAGCATAAAGGTTGAAAAAGACGTTTACGGGCTATTTTTCAATGTGAGGAGGTATGGATAACATAGGTTCAGGGAAAGAAATGGTTATATATGTGTATTAGCTCAAAATGGCTACTAAGAGGTTATGATCATAAGAAAAACTTGAAAGGCTCAAATTCAATCCTAAATTGACCGTCATCATATCTTAAGTATAATCCACCATCTAACCACAGACCGTGTAATGTTTTTCTAAAAAAAAGGTTCCAATTCAAGAAATCAATGAATGGTTATTACCATTTTTTAGTATGTGGTAGCTAGGGCTATAAGCAAAAACCGCAAAATCGAAAAATAGAACAGAAACTGCATTTTAGAAACCGTAGGTTTGGTGCCACGTGGACACCGTCAACGAAATGGTTTTGACCCAAACCAAACCGGTCAAAATGGTTTGGTTTATGCTTGAGAATTTTAATTGCGGTTTAAAATCAAACTGGACCGGTGAAAAAATATATAAAAATAAAAAAATAAAAAAATAAAATTTTTTCAAAATTCATTCAAATATGTAAAATTCAATAGTTTTGTCATTTGTGAGTATTTTTGTCAATTCCTAATTTTCTAATATAGACATATTATTATTATTATTATTATCCAATAATCCTAATATATATTTAATAATTTCAAAACTAACATAATCTATTAAAAGCTTTTTTCCTCTTCAAACTATAGATGAATTCCAGTCGACACCCAACACAGTTTTGAGCCACTGGCACCACACACTTCTTTTTCAAATTTTTCACTCTTCTTCAA